TCCCTTTTTCCGTTCGGTCACTCAGTACCGACCTATTTCGTACGGTTAATACACGAACACCATTTTACTAAACTATATTTGGCTATATTTCTATTCAAACAGGCTAAAATAAATCACACGAATCCTACTACATTTTCGTATATTCCCTGTTCGGTCAGATAAATAATAATACCTACACATCAGTATGGGGTTATACTAATCTGGTTTAACTACCAGCCTTGTGTTTTCCTACCTATGCTAACTGATTAACGTATTTTTACTGTAAAAACTATTATAAACATACAGCTTTTCTTACACATATTTTAACTAATAAACTTCACCCCTTCTTAACCATTGTACATACTTTCATACGTGACTAATACATGTAATACCATTTTTCTAAAAACACACAGATATAAGTCATTAAACACTATGTGCTATAAATACCCGTTACACCAACATCTGTACTATTCCTTTTCATATAATCACGCTGTCACATATTTTGGCTTTTACAGATTGCATCGGTTTCTTGCTTTTCTGCGCTAAAGTTGTTATTTCAAGGTCTTTTATTACAGGAACAGGTATTGTATCTTATCACTTTGAGTTATCGGGTTTTATTACTTACCTTCACATCTGTCGCTAATATGGAAATTTTCTTTGGTTAAACCCTTAGCTCCTGTATTATTCTAAGCTTCCACCGATTCTACGCAGTTAACCTGCCACGCTTAACGTAATCTCTGTACTTCAAACCAAGGTATAGCTCTCTCTCTTTTTTCTACATCCCATACTAGACCTCACGCTGTCTCAATTTCATTACTACCTTCCCATAGGCTTACGCCCACGATACGTTATCTCTTTACTATTTGTCTACACAGACATTCGGTCATACTGCCATCAGGCTCTGAAAACACCAAAACCTGACCCTGTACTCAGCCATACCTTCAGGTACTTACGTCCTTACTCAAGTACATCCATTCGCCACCCCAAGGGCTCATTCTGCCTTCTCACAAATATCTAAAATCATCCCATTCTCACACCTAACCTTCCAGATCCCGCAATGTAGGATCTCACGTTGCGCCCCTAACAAACCAACTCCCAATACTAATCATACGACATCACGATACGCATAAATACATCAACATCTTTCTTAAATCCTCAGGATTCTTCCTCAAGGACAGCAATAAGACAAGACTCTCTACACTTATTACCACCAGGAGGCTCCAGATACCATTTGCGACCAGTCAAGGTTAGTATCCACACACCACTCCAGTCCTCTCACTTTACCCTTAAGCATACAATCAAACTGGCTACAGGGCCCAGGCTAATTCCTTAGCCCACCCTATCAGGAAATCCAATGCCGCAAGGCCTACCACCCCCACCCCACCTCAACACGGAGGTACGGCCCCATGCCCAAATCATAGTTATAAGCCTCGCATGCCCTACTACAGGGCTCTAGTTAGGGCCTCACATGTCACGGCCACACATTTTTGATTTCTCTTTACCGTCACCGAGAGGCCAACATCCCGCCACCACATCTGTGGCAGCTACGTCATAAGCCAAATCATAGGTACAGCCTCTCACCGCCACTTGGCATTAGCAGGGCCTCACCTATCCAGTCATTCAACAGTTAAGTTTTTTGCTTCAGCATCTAGCTTTACAGTCCAGTTCTTCCAGATACACCACCCCCCATACCCCTCCTACTTACCTCACTCCCCCTCTAATATATCTTTCACATAATCATTCCTTTTTAGAATGTCCCAAGAACCAATTCCAACCAAAGAATTGACAGAAGAAACACCATTCATGCCAATCAGACCCGGGTCTCCAGGCGAATCACTCACTCTTTCAACCCCCACGTCCTTGAGAGCATGGACTATTCCCAAAATCACGGCCGAGCTTAGGCTCAGGGGTATCCCCTTTCCGGCCACAGCTAGAAAGGTAGAACTTTATAGGCTGCTTAAACACCAAGCCCCCGAGCCTAGGCCTGGAACTAGCTCTCAAGGACAACCACCAAGAAACAGCACGGCCACCCAGGATACCCTGGAAGATATCTTGGCCAATCTACAGACCCTCAATAGCAGGCTATCTAAGGTGGAGAGTGCCATCTCCTCCTCAGGTACTATCACTGAAGTCCCAGTCTCTACCACGGCTGTACCCGCTATACCAACATGCCCCCCTATACTCCCCCCTCCAGCACCTGGCACAGCCATTACACCATTTGAGTCACCAGCACACTCCGTCCCAGACTCTATCAGGAAAGATATCCTAGACGGGAAGGACGTGTGTCTGGTGTCTTTGCTCATAGCCTCTCAGGAT